AATAGAGTAAATAAGTCGCAACTGTTACCCCTCAAATTAAATATTTCCTAACCGGAACATCCCAAATTGCCATTTATGTTGAACATTTTGAACATAAATAATACTTGTACAGAACATAACTTTGTCGGATACATTTAATTTCATTCATAAAAATCTGTTTGAATGTTAATTGAGAGTTGTTCTTTTCTAACGCTAGCGGGGCATTTTTAATTGAAATAATTTTCAGTGGCTTTGTCTTCAAAATCATGGAATGAATACCTCATTAGAGAAGTGAATTGATTTGTTTTGATTGCGGTTTAGATTATTATTATGATATTATCAAACCCATAATGTATTTGCTTGTAAACAATTAATTAAGATTTTGTATAATTGGAGGATTATTGAGATGTTTTTCAGTAAAATTGGGAAGTAGTGGTGACAATTTTTCATGAATGTGTTTCATTTTAATTAAATGAATGTATTTGAAAACATAATTGAAATTACACATGGCATTTTTTCAGTGTAATTAATTAAATAACTATTACCAGTATTTGAAATTAAAATGTTCAAATTACTTCCAATTACTTAAAAAATGTAATTAATTGCAACCAGTTAGTTGCTTTTTCAGTTACCCCATCCATGCTTTGAAGTAAGCTTTTTGCAAATATATAGATAGCCATTATTGTATATATGTTACCTGGTGATCTCCCATCTTCTAAATGTACATTCAGCAATTGTGATATTAGGTGCTCAATAAGTCTATGTACGTTTGTCTGGGATCTCCCTAGTAGTTAAGGTAGTTTATTTGTAATTGGTTGTAATTTTCGTCATTAATAAATGACAATATTCATCAAACAATGTCTTGTAGTGTTTTAAGGAAGTAAAAATTAACAAAGCTGCAGGACCAAATGGGAACTGGTTTTCACGCATTCTTTACAATACAGGCATTTGTCTAGCATAAGATAAATGGAGGGCATAAATATTATAATGTTATAATGACATTGTCCCTAAATAAAACAAATTCTTAGTTTCTAATTTGTTCGAGATAATTCATACCATTTTTTAGGTCATTCCTTATAAACTTAATAAGACTACAGACCACTCCGTCTTCCTGACCGATACAAATTGGGTTCGCGGCGAGTGTGACTGGTCACAGGGGATGTTTTCTCCTACTTGGCACCTGATCCTGGTGTTTCGAGGGGTCCGTGGTTTTGTCCAGTTTTGTGTAGCATTTTTTCTTAGAATGATTACTGTTCATTATCTTCCCCTTTCACAAATACTTGTACTGATAGGTTTATAAGTGCATGTAAATCCAATTGAACACTGAGGCATGCAGCAATGAATTTTTGAACCTGGTAATAAAATGTTATTTGATTTCAGGAAAAAAAACCAAACCTGATTAAACTGAATCCAATAAATCCCGGTGTTTACAGAACTCCAGGTTAGGATTTCATCTTTCCACTTGACATAAAGGTAGGCTGTGGTCACCATCTTCTGATTTACAGCACTGACGTCATTTATACTGGAAATCCATAGACTCATCTCCATTTGTAAGGATTGTCCTTGATTTTTGATCGGACGGGTCTTACTAGAATAATTAGCAAGAAGAGAATCTCTCAAAGTATTGTGTTCTTCTATGGTGTACGAAAGATGGGTACATCTTGCTATCCAAACAGTCATGAAAATTACCATCAGATGTTTCCAAATCATTTTTGTTGTTATAAGAAATGACATGGATAGCTAATGTACTATACATGGTTAGCTACTGTACGTAATATATATAAAGTATTACGTAGAGTTAATCCATGTAAATGCCTAAGAGTACAAAATTGTTTTCGATTGGAAGGTTTTAAATATATCTCATGATAAAATCGTTATTAAATTGTTAAATTTAGAGAAATAAACTTTGATGAATGATTTTGGTGAATATGACAAACAGGAATTGGATCTTTCTTAGAAAACCCCCAAACAATAAAAACATGTGAACAGACATGACAGACAGACATCCGGAAAAAAGATCAATTGCTTAGGAGGAGTAAACATCTACTGTTGACCGACCTCACCCGCTGTGAGCTCTTCTTTTAGATTTTCTGATGGATCCAGGTTTCTTCCTCAGATACCTACCTTGAGTCATCATTCTGATAGATAAAAATAATAGTCAAAATATTTCGCTACTGTATTCAGGGAAATCGTCGTCCCGTTTTACTGTTGCTCCATTCAGACAGCGCACAAGTAGGCAAATTATATACGGGTTGAATTTATGGAAGACAAAATGATTTCTTGAACAGAACTCGTTTACAGTAAATTAAAAATGGAAAAAATTGCTTGCAAGTGTAAAAGGGCTAAAATAACCCTGTAAACAGTTTAATCACTATATATTTTTTTAAAATGCTGACTTTGTAGTAGTCTGTCTCAATTTCAAAATTGTTCATTTTCAGGGCATGCAGTTGCGAGACATTAGCACTATATGCAGGTGCATCTTCGCTAGCGAAGTGTCCAAAACGAATCGGACACTTGGCTAGCGAAGATGCGCAGGTGATAGTTGAATATAATTATGTGAATAAGGAAAGTTGACGATAAAAAAGTTGAAGTAATATCGTTTGTCATACACTTTAGTTGTCGACGCTTATTGTCCATAGTCAGTAAATCTCCCAAATATGAAACAGATGTGACAGACTCTGTAGTGTCTTTTTTCAAGTTCACTGGGGTTTATCAAGTCGACATATAAATGAAATATTTACATTTCCAATGTCTTTGTCCGAGATAAAATTACAAATTGTAAATGTATTTTATTTTCCCATCAATGTATTGATGCGGTTCCAAATAGACCTCGTGCAGGGCGGAACAAACAGCTAGACAGAAGCAGGGCTTGGAGCACGTGGATTGGCGGAATCAAAGCATGTAAATACAGCTCAACAAACTTTTTAAGCTCACATGGTTTTTCGCACAAATTAAGGTCACATTGTTGTAATAAACATTACTATTTTCGAACTGCAGTGCAATGTCATAACCCTTCGTTTTATTACATATATAATGTCAAGCGTAAATGTCTTTTAAAATTATAATCTTAAGTTTCCAAAGTGGATGATTTAAAGGAAAATGTATAAGTAAATGGTAGGGTGTTTCGACTATACGATTCTACAATGGGTTTTTACAAATTGTATAAATTCGAACTTTCCTTAATCCCATGTCGTTGAAATCTTCAAATTTTCTTCTTAAAGGTGAGTATTTTTTTAAAAGCTTTGCTCATTTACCATACTCCTCTTGGTTTCGTCGAAATACAGCGCCAAAAAGGGATAATAATGCAAAAGGAAACCACGCTAAAGGGTAAGATAATTAAGTACTGTTTAATTTTTTTAAATAGTAAATTCCTTGTATGAAATGGAAAAGCCTTCTGCATTTACGGTTTGAAACGTTAAATAAAATTTTACAGTGCGATTAATCTTTCATGATTCTAGATTTTAGAAATTGCGCTTAAAAATCCCATCTTATTAATATAGAAAGCAGTCAAACAGATGAAAATACTATTACCATCCCGAGTTAAAGAGTCAAAATGTACAGAAAATACAAGTTACAGTAGCTGTACTGTACCCATGTCTACGTTTCTGCAAGAGCTATTGCTTTCAAAAGAACGGATAAAAAGACAGTTGCAATTGGCAAGAAGATACAAAAATTCAATTGAAAATAGTTGTTTTTTTTCAGCCATGAATATATCAAAGTTCTACCGATTGATTTGTGTGAATTATGTTTCAGTAAATGAAATAAAACTCAAATTATGTTAAGACTACTTTTAAAATGTATTGTGTTGTCTCGATACACAATATTATATTATAACAATATGACCTTAATTTGTGCGAAAAACCATGTGAGCTTAAAACGTTTGTTGAGCTGTATAAGGAATAACTGTCAGATTGTTCAATTTCATGACGATGATCAATCGATTGGCTTGCGTGATATGGTTATGCATAAACGCCTTCGGCGTTTATGCAAATTATCACGCAACCCAATCGATTGATCACATAATGAATTCGAAAAATAAGACAGTTATTCCTTAAGTAACTATTGCTAAATGCTAAAAGGGCGTCGATATATCTGAATGTGGATTTGAAGACTACAGCGTGTGTTTTCTTCTTCCCATGTAGAATTTTTCTATGCATTCTGCTTCATAGGAATAAGTTGGGAGACAAAAGTAAGTCAATAAAGGAGCACAATTAATTCCCATTGAAATTTTAAATGTTTATGGAAGACTTGGTCTTCAAAGACTACATAAGTGTTGACAAGGGGGAACTTAAGCATGCTTTTAATATCAATTTTAATATGTTCAACATAATAACTTGGAATTTTTGCGGGCTTAAAAGTACTGAACTTTATCTCTTTACACACTTAATTCATTCAACTTAAAATTATGAAAATGAGATTAACTCCTCTATCAAACTAGTCCAATTAAGAGCTCTAACTAAAGGCTTGTTCTTTGTATAAAGTTTAAAATGCATTTTCAATCTGCGTGTTGCAAGTGTTGTACTTCAGTTATAGAACCCCCTCCTATATCTAAGTATCGCTGCTATGTTTTAACATAGGATAGTAACAGACAGGTAGATAATAGACAGTAGTCACATGATCTAAGTAAGTAACATGACATGATTGAAAACAAAAAGATTAGCGCAAAAACACAGGTAAAAATCAGGTAGGATATTCCTTAAGAATGATTTTACTATAATTTTGTATGATGCCAACAAATCAGATTTTGCTTTTATATGTATTCAATCATCATTGGAATAAAATATAACATTTTTGCATTTTTAATTGATTTTCAGAGCTGCAAATCTTTTGCTTTTTCAAAATCAGGATAAATTACACCAATTCTTTTTATTCATATTAACTCAACACAAGAAAATATTATAAATTTTCCCATTCTGATTCAGAATACTTAATCTGGAATATTTTGCTTTATCTTCTATTTCATTTTTCAATAAATATTTTCATAAAGATTTTTGTATACTCAAGAGACAAAACATCAAATGATGGACCCCCGTATTAGTGCCCAGGACGTGATGCAATGTGATCTGTGTGAGACTGCCGTGGTACAGATGCACTGTGATACATGTCTCGTCAATCTTTGTACGTCTTGCGTAGGGAAACATATGATATCTGATGAGTCCAAGGATCATAAAGTCATTAAATTTCAGTCCAAGAAATCTACATCTCTCTACCCTGGGTGTAAATCTCATAACAAAGAGAGATGTGAAATGTACTGTAAACAATGTGACATTCCTGTCTGCAAAATTTGCATTGCATCTGATCAACATCTTGGTCATAAGTGTTAAGCAATTTTGCAAATTCTGGATGAAAAAAAAAATATTAATTAAAGAACATACTGAACTGAAAGATACAATTTATCCAACATACCAGTACATTGCCTCTGATGCACAAAACAGAATGCGCCAATTAGAAAGAGAATACAGAGATCTCTCAAAAGACATAACAAAACATGGAGAGGACTGGCACAGAGAAATTGACAAGCTTGTCAAAAAACTTAAAGCTGAAGCTGATGAGATTAAAAACAAACAGTTACAAACTCTACAGAAACATCTGGATGAAATAAACAAGACATCACTGACATCAAGGATGAAATTGATGCATTTTATGTTACTACATGTATAGATTTTAATGACTTGTCAAAACTATTTGGTGCTAAATTCAACATAGAGAGATACAAAAAGCTTCCACAAAAAATTGTGCCATCTATACCTAAATTTAAAACTGGAAAAAATCATGAAAAAGAACTTCATAAAATGTTTGGAGCTTTAGCACTAAGTTCTCTCACTTCAGCTGAACATTATTACAGTATGAAGATATCGCCAGAAGCTGTATCCTCTCCTCCAGTCAAACAGCTGCTTGATGAACCAGAGGCTGTCACCACCATAGACACTGGGTATAACTTTTACCTTTTCCATGTGGCCTTTCTGACTGAAGAAAAAATCTGGACGAGAGGAGATGACAGCACCATGAAACTCTTCAGCATCAATCAGGGATCGCTACTCAAGTCAATTAGAACCAAGTCAGGGAATATACCATATGACATGACAGTGACAAAAAGTGGAGATCTAGTTTATACTGATTATAATGATGGAACTGTGAACATTATGAAGAATGTGAAAATAGAGGAGGTGATAAGACTGTGGGATTGGATACCTCGCGGTGTCTGTAGTACCTCCTCTGGTGAGCTCCTGGTTATCATGCGCATTGTTGATAAATACACATAAGTTGTCCGTTACTCTGAATACATAGAGAAACAAACCATTCAGTTTGCTGATAAAGGTAAACCCCTCTATTCGTCTAGTTTTATAGTGACAGATACAGATAATTGAGAACAAGAATCTGGATATCTGTGTGTCTGACAATGGGGCTAATGCAGTAGTGGTGGTCAATCAGGCTGTGAAACTGATGTTTAAGTACATTGGGCATACCCCTGCTCCAAAGAACCAACCTTTTAATTTCCGAGGAATCACCACTGACAGTCAAAGCCACATCCTTACAACTGATCAAAACAATGAATGTGTCCACATCATAGATCAAGTTAAGAAAATAAAATACCTGCAATAACGCTGTTGTATTTTATAGCTTTGTATGACTTAAGCAGTACATATAGGCATCGGAAGCAAATTGAAAGTGGGGGAGGGGGCTTAACCAACAAAAAAGTTTTGTTTTGTTTGGCTTTTAGATGAATGTCCAGGAATACTAAAGGTTGTGCTAAAATTTGAGAAGAACTTTTCCACAAACCTCTCCTGAAAATTGCATGCTTCTCCCTTTTATTTTTCCCTGTTATCATATAATGTTCCCACTATGGGAAACTCCCATTTTTCAATAAACAAAATAAAAATTCTCAGAAGCATTGTTTTTTTTACATTTAAATGATAGACAGGCATCCCTGGTTTATTATCTTTTTTTTATTTAGTTGCAGAACTGCACATCTATGTCTGGGAAACTTTAGACAGGTGAGGCCTTGCTACAGATCGATCCATTCATTTAAAAACCTTCGATTTCACCTCCGATTTTTTGTTGCTTACCTTTCAGGTATTATTTCTTGTAGTTTATGGGTTTTTCTTTCATGCTCGTAGAATGGTATCCGATAATTCATCATACATTTTAATCCAATTATTGATATGTTATTAACCCTTAAATGGTCCGAAACATTTAGTTTGTCGGTTTTTTATTTTAAAAAATAATTCCATTTTTACGTGCACTTCCTCAACGGTCCTTCTTAAACAGTTGAAAGGTAAATAAACATTTAGGAATAGGATATAAATGTATAGTTAATTATCTGGGGAAAACATAAATCTAAGAAGTAAAACCTAAAGTGAGTGACCAAAAAATCGGCGGTGTAAATGGAATTTAGGTTTATACAACGCATGGATCTGTCGCTCTCTGTTTCATCTGTTCGAAATCTCTCAAGCACGGAGCTACAGTTCTACAAATATTTTTTTTCTGACAATGGAGACATGGTTTTCCAGCCCCTAAATAATTATATACACGTGTACTAGTTTAGGGTATTATTATACTATAATCAGGCAGTCATTTATATGTTTATTAGCTTATAATTGTTCTCATATTTGACTGAATTTAATGGACGTTGTATGTTATGCCCTGTTCACACGGAGATTTTAATTCGCATTAAATTAATGCGAAGTAAACTAATGCGAATTAAAATAATGCGAATTAAATTGCGTTCACACGACAGCTAATTCGAAGTAAACTAATGCGAATTAAAATTTTACTTCTGCAGCCCGGCGTCAGCACGGCTATTATGACGTCATTTGCAGATCACGTCACCTTATGCAGAAGCAGATCCATTTGACATAATATGGCAAAGTGTCTGTATGCACATTTTGATGATTAACAAAATTTCCTTAGTTTTTCACTCAAAAATAGCACAAGTACCTATAGCTAACCACCGACAAGTGGCATTTGACTAAATTTTGCCATTACGCATTCATCAGAATTTAATTCGAATTAGCTTCGCTTAGCGTTCACACGGAGCTAATGCGAAGTAATTTAATGCGCAGTAAACTAATTCGAATTAAACTAATTCGCATTAAATTCTCCGTGTGAACGCTAAGCGAAGCTAATTCGCAGTAAACTTACGTTTAATTCGAATTAAACTCTCCGTGTGAACAGGGCATTATATGATACTGTAAAATCGCATATTTTCATGGGATCAATTTTTTTAGGTTTGAGGAAAAAAATGTAAGTTTGTGGGGATTTGATTTTGTGGTTTGTGAATGTCAAATAGTCTTGCATATGCAACTTTACATTTACATTTCATGGTGGTCATATATTTGTGTGTCTTTCCATACCTTGTAAACAACAAAAATTAACCCCCACGAAAATAAGTAATTTCACAGTAGTAGGTTGCACAACAGCATTAAATTCTGCTATATATTCTGAACAAATTTGAGTACATGAAATAAATTAATATTAATCTTCTGAGAAGTTTCCTTTTCAGATCTTGTAAAACAATTCTTTATAAAGATTTTAGTACCAAAAATATATAGCCATCCAGAAAGGCACTCAAGTTTGTTTCGGTCGAAGTCGAGCATGACTACTTAAAAATCAAGTCCAAGGCCTAATCACTCCCTACTCAAATACAGTATATAGAAAAATCAGCACGCCTTGAATTTTAATAAATCTGGTCAATACAGGAAGTTAACAAGATGTTTTTCATCTCATGAAAAATTCCAGCTCCAGTCTCGTGACAAAATGCCCGAATAGGAAGTGGAGATTCAGGAATTATTTTGCGTCAGCCATGATTTGACGTGAAATCTAGTGAAATAGATCTACTGTTATGACACCTTCGTTTAAGCTTGATAAGTGAATTAATACAGGCTAGAAGAAAGCCATGAGGGTGGATATAGTGATTAATTCGAAAATCTATACAGATTTTCTCCAGGTTTTTCCTGAAGATATTTACCTTGCTTCATTATTTCTCCTATCCTTATAATGTGAGACCAGTGCTGTGGTAACGTGTAATATAAAATAAATCTTTGATAATTCTCAAATTCCATAAAAAATACAATTTAGAACTTGTAAAATAGAAACCAAAAAATAAAATTTCCAATCAAAAGGAAGACAGTAACTCTTACATAAAGAATGTGATAAAATGAATGAAACATGTGGAGATAACGAACAGTACTCAAGATCACAAATAAAGAATACAAAACAGGAGCAGAGCAAACATGGACCTCCAAAACATTGGAGGTGGGATCAGGTGCCATTAAGGAATGAGCTTCCCCTGCAGACCGGTCACACCCGCCGTGTGCTCCTTGTCATGATCGGGAAATAACGGGAAAATCCATCGTAAATTCAGTGTATAAATAATGGACTAACAATAAGACTAGTATGAAAAACGTCAGTCAGCATACATCGTCGCAAACCACGGCCAAAATGTACGATCCTCTCTATTCTGGCCGTGGTTGAACGAGGAGCTCATCAAAATTTTGACCAATGCGAGTAAAGCATAGTCGGAAGATGAACTTTATCGCGACCTTTCAATATCCAATCGCAGTAAAGGAAATAATTCTTGCACACTGTTGACGTCAGTTGTTGATTTCAATTGCGATGGAAACAAAAGTTGCCACTGACTGAATATGACGTCACAATAGAAAGGCGTAAATATTCAAGATTACGACACTTTTTGTTCAAGCAGCCACGGGTAAGAGAGAGCTATATGCGGACTCCGGACCGTGGCTTGAGACGATGGTCAGCAAATGACTCAATGATGAATTGTATTTGCTAACAATGTCATCGTATCGACCATAGAACTTACTAAATAATGATTTTAAGGGGGGGGACCTATGTCGTTCTACGTCAAATTAGCGTTATGTGACGTCACAATAGCGACGTTTGTTTTTACCTGTTGACTTTTGCAACTGTGAAATAGGCATAACATTGTTGATAATCAATTACGCTTACGATTTACAAAAAGGAAAATTTATTCATCATTAATCACAGCTTTATTTGATTTATGGAGTTTGTTAATATTAGAATTCTCTTCCTTTGGTTGATAATTCATAGCAATTTCTGTTGTGAAAAAATACCTCGATAATATGCTGATATAATGGTGCAAAAAAGAGACAAGATTCAGCAAAGAAAGTGGCTTAAATCAGGGAAATGTTTAATTTTATAATCACCATTTATCGATTTTCTGGAGAAAACTTAGAAAAAAATTGTGCTTGTACAGGTGTATATTTGCTTATTGATTTACATGTATAGTACATGTGGATTTTATTGTATAAAGTCATTCCTAGGTTATAATAGGCATTGGTTGCTGACGGGGAAATGGGGGGGGGGGCAGAATGAATGGAATGTAAAAAAAAAATTATCTATTTAAATTGTTTCTAATCAAAACAAAATACTCGTTTTTTGCAAAATAGTTTTTTATTCGGATGTTTGTCAGTGCTTACTTACCCTTTTTAAGTGCAGAAAGGTCAATATTTATGACACAAGAGTACAAAAATAAAAGGAAACGTCATATTTATCGTTTATTTTATCATAAAGGTATATTTTTTTCTTTGTTGAAATAACGATATGAATCATTTCTTTCAAAAAATATGAATTACAACATTTTCACACAAAGACTTTTTAAGATATTATCTGTTATGCATGTCGGAATTGTAAAAAATACGACAAGAAAAATGGGGTAATACTTACATTGTGCTCCATTATAATTTTTCATGCGAGATGGATTTCAACGAATTTGCCTCCATTTTAAAGAAACAAGTCATATAAATTAAATAAGTGTTGATTTTGAACATGATTTGACATTTTTGGTTCTTTTTAGCGCATATTTGGGGTAGAACAATAATGACTGTAAATAATTTATTTTTAGCATTTCACACTGTTTTTGCACGCACTCCTGTGTAAAAATAAGCATATAAACGTATTGTTTTTAATACCTAAAAATTAAAAGCAAGTGGCCAGGAAAGAAATGTCAAAGTTTTGAAAATTTCACACAAAGACTTTTCGGACATAGGTCCCCCCTTAAACGAGACTGCTAATATTCTTGTTTCATCTTGTTTGTCAATAATTATGTTCCCCAAACGAAGTTGGGAAACATATTGTTTTTACTCTGTTTCTTCTTATTATTTTTCTTCTTCCTGGGTACTTATTTGTCCGCTAATGATCTTGTAAACTGTTCATTTGATGTAAGTAAAATCTTTTTAGGGTAAGTAGACATGTTATGTAGATTTGCGGAATCAAGGTCATT